TCTTTTTTCCACAATGAAAATTATATGGCCTAAAAGACATCCAATTAGTCACAATTTATTTGCCTTCCCTGTTGTGCTCATTATGTATTTTAAAAGTTCATATTGTAGGGTTAGATTATAAATGTGACAAGTGATAGGGGATGGTCTTCTGTGTATATGTTTCTCTTATTGGTTGATGAATAAAACACTGTTTGACCAATAGAGGTAGGACCACAGGCAGGACTGGGAGATGAGGAGAATTCTGGAAAAGGTAGGCAGAGAGAGACCACAAGGAGATGCCTGGTAGCTGAGAAAGGAGTAACAGGTCCAGGCATTCTCTGATAAGCCAAGGTCACATTGAAATACATAGATTAATAGAAATGGATTAATAATTAAGACAGAGCTAGCCAATAAGAAACCCTAACCATTGGCCAACAATTTTATAATTAATATGTAGCATTTAAGTGTTTATTTGGGGATGAAGCAAGGGGACCTGGTGGGACAAGAAACTCTAGCAAAAGAGAAGAGCTATCTAGACCAAAATGTGGATCTCTGTGAGTTCTAGGCCAGCCTGACCTACAGAACAAGTTCCAAGATAGGCTCCAAAGCTACAGAGAAACAAAAACCGAAAAAATTTTTTTTCATTAAAAATGTCTTTCCAAAGTCAACTCCAGTTCTCTTAGTCAATAACCCAAGTTTTCTTCTAATATATAGTTCATTTACAAAGTAAGGGAATTTCATAGATTTCAAAAATGCAATGTAAATAATGATAGCTTTACCATTGTAATAAATACCTAAATATCTTTGGCAAAGATATTTTAGAAATGATTTAACATAGTACATTAGTAAAGAAAGAAGATAAACCCCTTCAAGGCAAGTAGGGAGATCTAAACCAAGAGCAGGTCCAAGTTTTAACAACAGAGGACCAGCAGGTCTTTATGGACAATTCCTTTGCATCGTGTGTCACAGACGTTGCAGTTCAGGCATTGGGTTCATAAGGACCTGTCCAAAGAAGACTCAGAGACACTTTTAAGAATGAACTTAGCCTTTCCCAGCTGTGAGGATCTTCAGCCTCAATGGACTGAAGCTTCCCCTATGCCCAGGGCATTTTTAGTTTTCTCAATATTTACACTTCATCCAGTTGGTAGTTTCATCCACAATCGCCATCTTAAAAAAACAAAATCTGCACTTGTGCTTTTAGTCTTCCATCTCAGCCCAGACGTCCCACTTAGACTTCAGATTTTCATGGTCATGGGGCTTCTCAACACTTACACTTGGTGACATCTCAAAACTCACACATTCTGAGATCAAAACTTTTCTAATTCCTGATCTCTGGACATGAAAACTGTTTCATTACCGACTTTCTCTACATCAAATCACACAAACTACATTTGTCTTCTAGTTCAGACTAGATATTTCCACTTCACTGACTTACCTCTTTACTCTCCTTCTGACACCAGTCAGTCATAAATGCAGCTGTGATTTTTATATATCTGCTTCTCAAATACCTCCCACTACCTCTCTAGGCCAAGTTACTATCCCCCTTTTCCAGATTGGCTACAATATTCTAATATGGGGAGAGTCGATAAAAAGTTCTGGAGAGAGCCATTCACAGATATTTTCTGCTTTTTAGACCATGCCATCATTGTGACACTTCTCAGTTACTCTAATGTAATGGCCACAATGTTCCAAAGTCTATGTACAAAGCACAACAAAGCATATATAACTCACAAGTTAACAATCTGCAAACCCTTAATTAAACCCCTGTCCTTGTTTCCATCTCTACTCAGTCATCTTTTCTCATCACAACAGCCAGAGGGTTCCTTTTAAAACAGAAGTCACATCATGACAATCCCCTTCTCAAACTCTGCAACACCTCCTGTTCTCACTCAGTGACCAAGGCCTTAGGTGTTGCAACCCCAGGCACATCCTTGAATCTTGTATCTTGCTATATTCTCTCCCTTGGGCACTCTATTGCAGCTGCACTGACCTTCTAGCTGTTTCTCAAGACAGTATGTCTGTTCTGTTGTCCCCTATCCCTGGGTATCTACAGGGCTTGTGCCCTTAACTTTACTTCTTAGCTCGAATATCTTTTAGTGAAGCCAATTTTTCCCTATTGTGCCCAGCCCTCATTTGTTCTACTCATGTTTTTCCCCAAAGATTTACCACTAACTAACATCAAAATTATATATGTTAGATTATTCTTTGCTCCTCAGTTTCACCTATAATATAAGCTCCACAGAACCAGGGCCCTTATTTAAACCTGAGATTTTAGAGCAGTGGCTGTAGATGGTAGGCATTCAAAATGTGTTGAATACGTCTTTGTAGCCTAGTTAAAGTCCCAGAGATGGAGTGAGCTCATCTTTTCTCTGTACTAACTCTTTATACACACTATTCATTCAACGCTTTTTGTTCTAAATCATTATTATTTATGTATCAATCTTTCTCACTCCTAAGTCAGGCTCTCCTTACACACTTTTACATGTCTCTTGGCAGAAATACGTATAATGTCTTTTATGTAGCAAAAGATCAAATCATGTCAGCTCAAAGGTGCTGAATACATAGATTTCTTTGACATCAAATTACTAGTTCTGCAAATTAGTTATTGTTTCAAAAGTCATCAACCTCTATCCTAAGTATCTGTGTATAAACACTCACTAATTGAGATAATTTGAAACCATTCTTTCACATATTTGCTTAATTAACCTGCGGTGACCTCTGCAGAAACACTGGCCTGTGATGATTCTAAGAGGTAGTTTTTTGGCATGGACACCAAAGCATCGAACAGTCAGCTGGAACTAAGGAAAGCAATAACACAACTGGTTTTAATTACTCATGACAGGCAGCTGAATATGCCGGACACAGGGTTTCTTTTCAATACATCACTCAAAAGGGTCAGTTAGAGAAAATGATGGAGAGAGAAAATGAAGATGGAACCAAAATGTGTCCATGATACAAAGGTGTCCTTTTTCATAGGTGACCTTATTCATTTCCTTTTTTGTTTTTATGATAGTCTAGAATCATTAATGTTACTGTCTCCTAAAACATAGTGCACTTCTAGGCTGGTACAGGTGATGATTACACCCTTTCTTGAATCACCATATAAACTGTAGAGTCCTCAAAGTTCATTCAGAATTGCAGATACATTTGCAATTAATTCATTTGCGGAGCACAGGCAAGTACCTTCTACTTCCATTAAAAATTCAGAGCTGGATTAACCTCATCTATAACCTCCTTTTCTTAAACACGTTTGGGAAACCAATGGGAAGCAGGGGGCTTCTTTGTTATAGTCTACACATAATTTGAACACATCTCTTTCTTACAATGTCACACTCACCAATGAAACTGTGGGTTGGCCACATCCTTAGGTTGTGGACACAGACGCAGAAACTGAGACTACCGCCCTAATTAGGCAGCATTTTTGTCTCCGGACCTAATCTTGTTATAGGTCTGCTTTGCCTGATTTCTGAGCTTAGGGCTTTCTTATTTCTGGGAACTTTCCTGTTCTCATCAGAAGCATTACTTAATCAGTATTCTGACTAGCCTTGCACACCCAAGAGCTTTTGGAATTTCTGGAGCCCTTATTGGTCCCTGCTTCTTTCTTCTAATTCCTGTTTTTTACTTCCAGACACCTAGCCTGCCTGACTCTTTCTGCTCTTATCACCAAGAGCTTTGCATTTCTGCAGTGTACTAAGATGTATGGTCAAGACTGGGACACTGCCTATGAATAACCCCCTCAAAGAACTCAGAATCAAAGAGATAATCATGAATGCCACAGTAATGCAAAATGGTAAATAGAGTAGAGTATGGAATCAGGACAGATCCAGCAGCTTCAAGAGGTGTGAGAAAAGTCTCTCTCTCTCTCTCTCTCTCTCTCTCTCTCTCTCTCTCTCTCTCTCTCTCTCTCTCTCAAAGTAAAAATCAACAATACCTAAGCATTCTGGAACAGACAAAAATTAATGCAATGTATTATGTATTTTAAAACATTGCCTCTGTAAAGCCCCCACACCATACATCATGACTCTATCAGGGAACTGCAAGTAGGTGCAGCTGTGAGGAAAAGTGCGAGTAAAATAGTCTAGAGAGGTAAGCCATTGAAAGACTGTGAAGCTATTACATGGCATTGTCAAGAGCTGGAAATTCATGCTGTGAGTATGAATGGGGTATCACTGAAAGATTATATGTGAACCCATCAGATTATATTTCAGAATAATTGGCATCAAAATGAAAAAAAAGTCCAGCTTCATAAGTCCTTCCCGACCAGTGTCCTCAAACATAGCTGATCCTAGAATCAGTTAAATAACTTAATAAATAGATACAAATACTCTGATCCCACGTCATAGAAACAAACTGATGGAAGTGAAATTGGGAAATCTCTACTGATGAATATCTCCAGTTGATTTGGAGGCAGCTGGACTATGAAGTGGTACTTTGGAACTAAACTAATCTACCAATTATACCACGGGTTTCCAGATGGGCCGATAAATACAGCCTGTTTACGTTGCTTCCTTTGACAGAAGAAGCTGACCTGGGGTTTCTCTGAGTGTCTTCCTTTCACTATCTCTATGGTTATACCAACAGGACCAGAAAAAGAAATTCCTTGCTCATAACCTCTAAAAATCTTCTGCCTATTTCTTTCAGAAACAGACCCACACTTTAACATAACCTTCTAAGATTACTTTATCTGGTTGGTAGTCCCTCATGACACTATTGTTTTTGTTTGGTCTTGTTTTTACCTTGTACCTGCTACTAACAATACTGAGGGCTGTTAGTGACAATGTTCACCTTCAATTATTTTTCTTGGTTAAATTATGGACACATTAAGAATTCAGGAGTTGTCAGGCAGTGGTGGCGCATGCCTTTAATCCCAGTACTTGGGCGGCAGAGGCACGCAGATCCCTGTGAGTTCGAGGCCAGCCTGGCCTACAAAGTGAGTTCCAAGACAGCTACTCTGTCTTCAAAACTCAAATATTATATGCATATATAATTCAGGAATTTTTGCAGAATAATACAAATCTGAAGACGTTTTAAGTAGAATGTTTAATGATTTGATTCAACAAGACAAAGGGGACTGATTTGTTATCAACATCAAAGACTCAACAGAATTAAAGATCATCTACTGGTAGCCACTGAGGAATCATATTTACACAATAAGTTCTGGAAACTGAAAGCAGAGAAGATTGGCAAATGTGTCAATTATGGAAAAGTAGAAAAGATAAAGGAATTAAAGATGCTGTTATAAAAGAGGTCCACTGAATCAGCTTCAAGAGAAGGTTCTGCTAATTTGTTCCAAGATTTATGAAGGGTGAAGTCTGAGTTTTGCCATACTCTGTCAGTCTGTAGCAGTTGCTCTTTGATTTCATTCTGTCCTCTGACTTGCTCTGACTCCCTTCTATAGTGCATGAATGGCCAAGGAACCAAGGACAAAAGTGATGTAATTATCTGCGTACAAAATGCAACTATCTAGTTAATGCTGCATTTATAAGAATATAGTGTAACAATTCTCTATTATTCCAGAGCAATGATCTTACGATTTGTGGTGGTATATAGTCATGCAGTAGGTTTTATTAATTTAAATTGATTCTTTGAATTTCAGGGTCAAAACATATCACTATGCTTCAACATTAAGGTGCTGAAGTGTTTTGAAGGCAAAACAGTCATATTTAAACATTGTGCTAATAAAAACTGAATTTCACTTCTCTTTCTGAAAGATTTTAGATTATTTTATTTAAACTAATTCCTTATCTGAACCCAGCTAAGTCAGTATGTGAGCACCATCCTATTTGCCTATTTATTTCTTTTGATGATTCTCTTTCAAGGTACACTCATTTCATTCAAGGGACAAGGAGCAAATGCAAAGAAGCAGGCACCGTGGAAAGCCAGCAGCTAAAATTAGATTGCTGACAACATCTACTTATATGGCCGGGGTGAAACTTCAGTGTCTAACATTTTCTCCTGAAAGGAGACACTTCCACATGGTAATGCAAGCATCTGCTATCAAATTACAACCATATTACATCATTGGTAGTAAAACTGTTCCAAAATAGACAGTGAAACCATATACATTTTCTGCCAAAAGAAGGGCTGAAGACAAAATTAATAGACTTGTTTTTGTAAGATTATTTGACTAGTATTAGTACTAGTATTTCTTTTTAGGTGGAGATGTTTGTTCAAGAGAAGCTATAAAAGCAAAGAGGAAGAGAGTGTAATGTAGCTAACACAAGGACAGGGAAAGGAGTCTGGACCTTCTACCTCATTCTGTGATCAATTGTATAACACAAACCATCAGTGACAAACACAGTCTATAATATGTGAGCGCTGTTTCTTTTTCAGGTCTTCATATGTGCTTATGCATTCAGGTGTAAACAGGAAGCTCATCAAAGCACTTTCCTGGTGCTTTGCTCCATCTCTCAGAAAATCCACAGCATCTGTAAATGTCTCACTATAGTAAGTACACTTCTAGATGTGCACATACTGGTGTGTGCACTGTATTAGCAACAGCACGTATGTATGACATCCTCAATCATTCTACACATACATTGTATCCCTTCTTTCCATCTGTCTGCATCACCTAGGACACCTTGGAGATAGACCCAGTCCTGAAGCAGAGCAATGCTCTCCGGTCTGGTTGTTCAATCCCACTGTTGATCAGGACCGTCTATTACTATGCAGAGCAAACATCCACACTGGAACACACTGCTCAGGGAAGCCCTCTTGCTTCTCCTGGCCCAGAACCACCAGCCCACTCTTCCTAATCAGGCTTCGGAGGATGTCCATGTCCCGAGTCACACTGCTGTCAGACAGGTCAAAGATACAGCCTTCCCGAGCTACATTGTCCTTCAGGATGATAACACCATTTTCTTTCAGGCCTTCTCGGCACCGGGAAAGAAATGCAAGGAGGTCTTTATCAGTCAGGTACCCTGCAAATGGGGCCAGATTGGTAGAAAAACAAGATGAAATGGTGGGGGGAGGGGCAGAAGGGAAGTAAGTAAAAAAGAAAACAAAGCAAAGAGTCAAGAGACTGTCACCTATACATTGCTTAATGGCTTGAATTGCTTTAGTTACAAGAGATTTTGAAAACCTAGATAAAAAGTAAAAGATACAAATCCTTTTTTGGGGGATTTTTAATTCTTTGTCTTTATGTCATGCTGCCTGAACAATGTACCTAATAGGTACAAGACACAATTGTCCCTCCTTATAGAACACAGTCACTTTTTGTGAGTGTGTGTGTGTGTGTGTTACCACAATATAATTAATTGTTTTTCATTTCCTAAGGATTTAAATCTCAAAACATTTAGTTCTATCAATAAATAATGAGGATTGACCATTTATAGGGTCAGTTTTTTAAGTATTTTTAGCTATCTACATTTCTGCAAAGACATGGATTCCTCCGAAGCACTTGGTCTAGCCCCAGGAGTAAGAATTTCCAGGCTTCTATAGCAATGTTAGGAGAAATTTAGGGAAACAGGAAATCACATTACAGCTAGACACAGGAGCTAACAAAAAGTGCTCCATCTCTTGTTAGTCCTTGTTAGTCCCTTGTGTCCTTGTTAAACCCAATTGTCATCTTTCCTAGCTGGAAACTAGTGAAAGGCAAACGTTGTGCCATGCAAGACTGACCTGAAACCCACTGAATCCAGATGACATCATATCTTCCTAAGGGAGGTGTGAATTCCTGCAGGCTGTAGCAGTGGTAGCTTTCAACTTTGTCCTCATGAACCTGCAGGTAGCTCTGGGCTTCAAGGAGGAAGGATTCCATCATGTCAACCAGTTCAACGCTGCTGAAAACAGGCAACAAGACGTGCTTGCTGACCCTTCCTATTCCAGAGCCGCAGTCCAAGGCACAGCCAGTTCCTGCTCTCCCTGATCCCTGCAGAAAGATACCTTGTGGGCCACTTCAAGTACAGACTAACCTTGAGTCTTGAGCATCACGGTTACTTCTTCAAATCATAGCATCCTATACTGTGAGATGTTTCATTTATGTGTATGATTTGATGTTAGTACAAATGCACATAGATAAGTATCTATGATCATATCAATATATAGAGCATTTTATTTTTTCCAAAAAGTCAAATATTTGTTGTTCTGCTTGGTTCTTTTCCAAATTTAGCTATTTAAAAAGAACTGCAAACTATTATATTAGCCTCCAATACCGGGTAAGTCTCTCCAAGAAATGAGCCATGGAGAACTCTATGAAGACATATCTTTGATGACCATGGCAGCTTTATGGCCATGCACTATATGTTATTACTTTGGAAAAAGGGCCAGGTGGGGTGGAGCCCATAATGAGTTTTTATGAATTTCAAAGTTACTCTAAACATTCACTTCTTGGAAACATTTAAATTCATATTAGGATGATTAAAATTTTAGTTTTTCTAAGCTGGATTTGAAGTTGCTCAGACTCTCCTACACCTTCTTTATGGGTGGTAGCACTTGAGACCTGAGCTGAGGAATAGCCATTATCCCACTATCTGTCTCACCAAGAGTGTATTGTAAACACAGTTCTGGCAACACACAAAACACCCATCTGGATAAAGCATAGTTTCTGTGTGTGTGTGTGTGTGTGTGTGTGTGTGTGTGTGTGTGTGTGTGTGTGTCCAATATATATATATATATATATATATATATATATATATATATATATCCAGAAGCTACATATTTATTGAAAAGAAAAAAATACCTAAGTCTGTGCATTGGCTAGGAAGGGGGGATGGGGAGGTGGTACATATTGAGAAATTAGTTAATAAACATTCTCAAACTTGCTCCTATACAATTAAAGAAAGGCTTTAGATGTATGAAGACAGACTCAGCTGTTCTAAATTATTTTGTTGTGATTGGGATGGTAATAGGTTCGTGCTAGAAATTACAGTAATAGGATACTTGGAATTACCAATCAAGATCTTACGGGGAGAGCCTACTCTTGATTTCTTGGGAACTAAGGATGAAAAATACCGTTGGCTAAGGATCAAAGGTAAACATGTACAGGAGGAAACATCAAAAAAAATGCCTTGCAGTCCATCCAAAAGGCTTCCCTTTTGCTAGAATGGTACAAGGACAACAAAAGCAAAAAGGAAGCAATGATGCTGTTTTTTCAAATATAGTAAGGGCCATAACAAAGGAGTATTTATATGTCATATGCTCTTTATAGCCACAATAAATACAATAACCAGAAAAAAACTTCTGTAAGAGTATGATGATGGGGCTGGTGAGATGGTTGTTCTTCTGGAGGTCTTGAGTTCAATTTCCAGCAATCATGTGGTGGCTCACAACCATCTACAATGAGATCTGGTGCCCTCTTCTGTCATGCAGATGTACAGGAAGACAGAGCACAAATATATATATATATATATATATATATATATATATATATATATATACATTAAGATGATGATTTCCATTTTGGAGATGAGAAAACTCCAGTTGTGGCATTAAATAGCTAATGGCAGAACTAGAATTTGAGCAGGAACCGTCTGAGCCAAGCCCAATCTACATTAGGAATAACACCGAGAGCACTAATTCTGACTCCCTTGGAAAGGGCTGCCTAATGTGGTATTCAAAGGGATTCAAAGACTTCTTTCAGCAGGAAAGGGCTGATTGGTGATTTCTGCCTTGAGTTTAAGAAGGAAAGCAGTAAGACTTATGATTGCTACCTCTGTCTTCACTATGGTGTCTCCCCTGTTCAAACATTACATCTTACATATAACTGATTTAAAGGCTCACGAAAGTCACAATCTTCATATAAAATAAGAAACATGAAAGGAGAAAATATGCAGTGATTATTGTAAGTTACAAGCAATGACTGGTAGAAATAGGTGTGTTTAATAAGAAGTTCTCATTAAAACTATTTCCTGGAATTGCTGGGTTCCCAGAAGCTCTATTGGTCATTCTAATCTCATGAGGAGTAGCAAGTGACTTTAGAAATAGAACCACTGGACAACAGAGCTAAGAGACATTAAGAATGTAATTGCTGGACACTTTTATAGTTGGAGGAACAGATTACTATGACGCTGGTAAGTGAAGGAACCTTACCCTCTCTGCCTTCCCAATCACTAACCACGGAAGCCCTTCACAGATGTCAGCAAAAGCCTAGAGTTTTTAAGTGAGTGATATTTAATCCCCCTGTATTTTAGACAAATAAACTGAGGACAAGATATTCCAATTAGAACTCTCTGAAACTATTGTACTCAACCTTCCTAATGCTGCAATCTCTAATACAGTTCCTCATGTTGTGGTGACTCCCAATCATAAAATTATTTTGTTGCTACTTCATAACCGTAATTTTGCTACTGTTGTTAATCATAATATAAATATCTGATGTGCAGGATATCTGGTATGTGACCCTCAAAAGGGTAGTGACCCACTGGTTGAGAACCACTGCCCTTGGAGATTCTCATCCTTTTCAGTTATGATTCATCAGTTCAGATGTCTGATACTTGGCTACAGCTATCCTTGAAACCTTTGAACAGACACCAATGTTCCTTTCACTCAGGTACTGTGAACCTCCAGCATCTCCGATCATTGCCTAGTCGCTCTTTTCTGCTTCATCCAACATGGTTGGCACTGCCTCCCCTGATCTGGCACTGCTGTTCTTTTTCTGTCTGTCACTCATAGGCAATACCTCTGAGAAGGGCTATTTAAAGGTTGCTCTCAGAATCTGCTCTCACCTCTTGGATACAATGCCTGGAGAAGCTGTGACTGGACTGAAATCAGATGCCCTTGACAAATGTGAATACAACCTCGCACAATGTCTGATTTCAAAACAAGATGGTCTTTATTTTCATTTTCATTCATTGTGTTATCTTCGTGTCTATAGACTCATACAAAATAATACAAACACTCTTAGTTACGCTGTTTGTGGCCTTATTATGCCAAATTGCTTTACTTTGCATAGCATTATCTTAAACCTATCAGTCAAGTTGAAAACTAAAATCTAAGTGCTTCATAGCACTGTACGAAAGCCATGAAATACAAAACAAATCCCATTAGTTTAGGAATTCAATCTCTGACAAATATCTAAGAAACAAATGCATGAAATACCAAATCCTTCTTGTGTGCTACAACTCTACCCTATTAGTTATTGGCTATGCTGGCATCATCTTGGTACTATTTGTGAATTGCTAAAGCAAATACATTTGCAACTAGATTAAACAGCTTTTCCCATTGTCCCTTGTCACTGAGTGTTGAAAGGAAAGCAAAGTTTTAAATTAAACAGTTCGCTTTTTCCCAGTTGACACAAGAATAAATCATGTCACATGCTTATATCCCCTAAGTCCTTGTCTCTTGACCTAGATACTAATTTAGCAGATTATTGAGGTCAAAGCACTAAAATCTCATTCCTTTAAACAGACTGTTTGTTCTTAGTTCAAGGTCACAGCTTTACAATGTGTCTTGTCTATTAAGAAGGACACTTGTGTTTGTTTGAAAGGAGCAGTCTACCTCTTTTCCAACATAAATATGTAAGCATACAGTGTTTCCTTTCCCAGGTCTGCGGGCGTGCCTCTGGGCTCTGTCTGACCAGAATCCCTGTGGTCAGCTTGGCATTCCTCGTGGAGTGACAAGGCAGCTGGATTACTAGCTAAGCTTCTGAAATACCTTGGGATCAAAATCAGCCTCACCATGAGGCAAGCAGGAGGGACTGTTTAGGCCAGAAAAGAGGAGAGTTGAGGTGTATAGCCTGTGAGAAACAAAATAGGGATTTTTCTGCCTCTTGAAACAAATGGAAAACAAAATATGTCTTGGTTGAGAGCAAGGAATTTGGCATAAGACTAACCTGGCTGGACTGATGTCTCCGTGTGTGTGTTCTTTTTTAAGGATTTATTTCATCCCTTTAAGCCTCAGTTTCCACAACTATAAAAAAGAACTGACAGCAATTCTTACCTTTAAGAATTCTAAAAAGTAAACAGGCAGTGTTCCTAAAAGACTTGGCAAAGTAACTGACCTACTTAGAACAAGCATGCTATGAAATCAGCCATCAACACTAGTTTAGAAGTATTACAGATTACTCTGACATGTAAACATCCATAGCCATAAACCCTACATTTGTCAAACTTTTGTGGCTGCAACTTGCATCAGATAGACATAGGGTCCCATAGACATCTCATCCTGGCCACATGCCTCTGCTGCCAGACTCCTGACACAGACACTGGGTGCTGCAATGGGGGTGGGGAGCATAGAATGAATGGAACATCACTTTAACACCAATATAGTCTTCACACTGTCCTTTTGAGTAGAGTGACAACTTAACTCTAAAGCTAAACATTGATAGTGTTTCCTTTACCAAAATAAAGCACTACCCACATTTTAATCAAATGACATTATGTTGAATATAACAAATTTTGCTTGCAATTAGGATTTTTATCTTCAATAAGATCCATGACAGCTTTATTGTGTGGGTTAAGATAGCCTGAAAACTAAAGTTGCATGATATGTGATGAATATATGATATGACATCATTGTTAGTAATAGTCACATCAGATTTATTTTATGCTTATTTTGTTCACTAAAGCAAGTGTCCAACATCTCTAGTCTTTTTTGATCTTCACTTTATTCCACCAATCAGATTCTGTTGTTATTCCCTAGCCATGGAGGAGAAGACTGAAGCTAAATACATGGAACTAACATGTTCAGGGGTGTTTATACATTAGGTGGAAGAACTGTGTTGCTTTAGAAAGCTCAGAAGTTTGGTTCCTACATTCTACTGTCTTGTCTCTGTATGACCTGGGCATTTCTTCCACAAAAAGAAGAGGCCTAACCAAATCCAGAGTAACAAAAGAATCTCATTCATTCAGGTAACAAGTTGAACTATGTACAAAATTATAAAGGGATCCTATCATCCTTTTTTTAAAAAATGAATATAAGCATGCATCTTCTGGTATATTTCATTTGTATTTTAGAGACTTTGTAAATTACTCTGAAATGCCATGAGGCATGAATTCTCAGTAGTCTTCTAGGTGTCAGCTGTTTACCTCTGATTTTCTGAAGATGATTCTGTAGTGTAGTACAGTCATGTCTGTGCCACTAGTTCATCTTCCCCTGAAGCATGTGAGATTAGCTGGTGCTACAGTGGTGAAGCTCCAAATAGGATAAGCCGAGGGTTTGCTGAGCTCCATCCCTCTGATCATCTTAAAGCAGGCTTTCCGGATGACCACTCAGCTGAGTCACATGGATTTAACAACACATGTGACCTCAGTTTGCAAGGACTTTGTCTGTTCAACAAACATCAGTCAGAAAACTCACCCCAACAAATTTCCTGAGAAATTCATGAGAGGCCTGGATATCTGGATTGGATAGTTCAATAAAATTTCCCATCATGCCTTCTTCTGTGGCTGGTACCTCTTGGTAGAAAAGCTTGGCTCTGGCATAGAACTGCATCTCACCGTTAATGACTTGGCTTGTTAAAGCATACAGTTTTACTGCAAAGGAAATATTATCAAGTTATTAAAATGTATAGGATGTATCAAACTCATTTTTAACAATGAAATGGCTTTCTCAAAACTCCATGAATTTGTACTGTAGAGAAAAGGTCTCTGATTCTATTTGATTTGATATTTTTAGACAAGGTCTCACTATATAGCTATGGCTGTCCTATAATTTGCTCTGTAGACTAGGTTGGACTCAAACACACAAGATCTGCCTGCCTCTGCCTCCCAAAGATTGGGATTAAAGGCCTACACTGTCATACCCAGCATGGACAATGGATTTAAGACAGAAAATATGGGTTTGAGTTCTATCCCATAGGCTTGCATGCTATTTGACATTGAGAAAACTATTTAAACCCTGTGGTCTGCAAGTGTCTTATCTATAAATCACAATTACTTTACATTTTCCTAATTGAATGTCTAGTTTAATAAACACAACTGACATGGAAGATCAATGCAATATGGAATATAATATATTTATTTACCAGAATAATAACTTACATACAAGCTGGTGAGTCAGAAATGTGGCAGGTTTCCAAAGGAGGAGAAGAGAAGAAGAGAGATTCGTTTCTCTTTCACTTCTTTTTATCTTCACCTGGGCTAAATTTCCCTATCCCCACCCTCATGGGTGGATAGCTTTGTGGGGCTCACCCCTACACACAACTTACCATCTTATCAAAAAAATTCTTAAAGTATTTTGTACAGTAAAAGAATAATCTCATCACATCATGCTAAGTGATATCTTTTAGCTCAGTGCTTTATTGAAATTTTCTCATTCATTCTAGCTGTTAGCCTCTATTTTTCACTTTTTAAATACATATATGTCTGTATATCAAATATAATACTTATGTATGAAATTCTCAAAACATTTTTAAATTAAAATTTAAGAATGACTTAGTCCATACCCCCCCACCAACAAATGAATTAGAAAGCTAAAAGTTTCTAAAGTTGTACAGCTACAGGAAGAAAACTATTAATGAAACAATGGAAGAAAAATTCTAGACCTGAAAGAGACTGTAAGATTTAGCCAGGGCTAGGAAAGGTAAACTTCTTAAAAATGCAAATTGACATTTATGTTTAAATTTTTCAGAAAAAAAAGAAGGACCCTAATGCCATTTGGAAGGAGAAAAAATGATTGAGCTTCAAACCAAGTTACCAGAAGTAGAAAATAAAAATACAGGCCTGAATATTATTTGAATTTTAGATAAACAATAATTTATTAGTGTATATATATATATGCCTAAAATATTGCACTCTACATGGGACATACCTATAAATAAAAATTATTGGTTGGTAATATTAGATTCAGTGTAACTGGCATCTTTTTTACAAAATAAAGAGCTGAAGTAAAGCAAATATAACAAATTTCATCAGAAACAATTGAAAGTAGTGGTTTAATGGCATTAGAATTCTAAAAAATTTTTATTTTGAAACTAAATTTAACACTCATTTAACTGGGAGAGTATTTTCTTTCTATTGATTAATATTTCTTGACGTTGTATTTCAACCCAGCAAGGGTTAAAATCAAGAATGATGCCACTAACATAGGAATTCAGCAAAAAGAAATCTACAAATGACAATCACTTATCATATCTGGAATTAAACTGTTCATGCTGCAAGAGAAATTATAGGCTGGAATTCAGCTAATAGACAAAGTAGCAAAGAATCTAGAATGCATTGGTAAAATTCCAAACAGGATATGTTTTGGTTCACAGTAACCAGAAACAAAATAGGGTTAAACACTCTAGGTAAAAATATACAATGGCTCATACTTGCTGTTATTATGAGATTAAAACCAAAATATGACATAATTTTAAGTAGAAGGAGTCAAAGGGAAAATAGGATTTAGCTTAACTAGGAGCATTTGCTTTTCTTTAGGTAACTCCTAAGATTGTGAAATGAAAGCAGGTTTCTGCTTGATTCTACATACTACATACTTGCAAATTTTATTCTAAAAGTTAAAAATTCGATAGATAGCATATGACTAGAACTATGCTCCTATTGTGAAGTCAAGATTTTCCAACCTGAAGACACTGGAACTAATGTTTGGGTCACAAATGAACATGGGTTTTCTGAAAGGGCTACAGGAGTCAGTTTCTTAATAGATTATTTTCTGGAGACCAATATAATATTATACACAGTCTCCTCAATATATATTAACTATTATACAGGCATGTTAGTTTTAAAATACAAAGTTTTTAAAGCTGCTTATGTATATACTCTTTTGCCAATTTATGCACGACTGGATACTACTGAATGAGACAATCCAAAATGCAAAGTAGGGACCTCATGCTCCAAAGCAATAGAGCCAGTGACCTACATCTTCTCTTCCCACACTTCCGTAAAGGAAAGTCTTGTTAAAAACCAAGTGGATCAACAAATTTTTATAAATTCAATAGAGATGGGAAATTCAGGCATCACCATCCCAAGGTTACGATGGTTCCAAGTTCTTCTGCAGTCCTCAAAACATCAAGCTAGAAAACTCACAATTCATATCTTCTCAGGCTTGGATTTTATTCTCGGATTGTAGAAGAACCATGGCTCAATGGCTCAATCTGTTTCTCTCTTTCTCCCTCTACCACTCCCCCCTCCCCCTCCCTCTCTCACTCCCTCTAAACCTTCCTCTCCATCTCCCTCTCAGTCCCTCTCTCCCCAATCTCTCCCTCTCTGTTAAGGAGAAATTGTGCTGCAGTACATGGGTGGAGAACAGAGGACAACTTGCAGAAGTCAGTTCTCTCCTTCCAACTCATGGGTCCCAGAAATCAAACTCAGGGCATTGGTTTGGCAACTATTACTTTAACCACCTACCTAACCATCTCACTGACCCCCCCCTCAATGTTCTTGATCCAGGTATTGCAACAAATTAGCCACATTCATCATCACATGCTTAAGTCACCAAGTTGGTAGCATATATTAAAAGACTTAATCTAGAAATGGGCATGGTTCATTACATCAGCTGCATTTTAGTCTCAACTCAATGCAGAGCTCAGCAGGTCTCAGCTTCACTAGGTGGGCTTTTATTGTTAGGGGCTTGAATTCTCATTTTCACCTAACTGACAAATGTATTTCTCAAAGAAAGATATATGAGGTGTCAATGGCCAATCCCAGGTTCTGCCCCTTGATGGCTCCTACATAGTTCATGTTGACTTAGCCAAGGCAACCAGTCACTTTTTACAAATCTTTTTATAGTGGAAATTCATGTAGTGATATTTTGTCAGAGAATGGCAATGTCTCTGTAAATTTTGAGATGGTTTGCAGCAAAGAATAGATCAAAAATGGCACTTATTTCTTGACCCATGTTATCTGTAACTGATCAAATCTGTATACATCTAAGGAATCTATTTCATTTACAATATAACATAAATGTTATATATACCTTCTATAGAAAGAAGAAGAAACAAAGAAGTTATTAAATTGTCCATGCCAAATGACACAACTGAGAGTTCATCCCATTGCTTCTTCATCTTGCATTTTGCCTCAAAACTACATCAGGTAAGTAAAGACAAAAGCAAAAGGAATTATTTTTGTTCATTTTTTTAAAAAGATAAATGCTCTTGTCTCATTTGCACTATAAAATTAACAAATATTTTAAATTTTAGATATATTTTTATTAATTCTTCAAGAATTTCATACACTGTATTTTGATGATTTTTTTAGTTGCCTGGAATTGTCCTAAGCATTTAATATTATTTCTTTTAACCCTGTAAGCTTTGTTCTTAATATTTTAGAAGACTAGAGTTAGAGTGGTCACTTCTCAGATGAGTGCTGGGAGAGTAGGACTTAGTATAGTTTCACTTAGTAAAAGACATACATGAGCAGGTCACAAGATAAGTCCATTTGAACAAAGCTTTTTTCCTTCTGCTAAATCACCCAAACCATTTTCAAAAATCAACGTCCAGGAGTTATAGACTCCAAGTAAAACAACTTCCAGATAGCCACTGATCTCCATGTTTTGAAAAATGCAGTTATGCTAGACTATTGCTGATGATTAACTTATGAGAACATCTCCAATTGGGCTATATACAGGTCCCTTTAAGAACTGACAATCTTCTCAACAGAACAATCTCAAATTATGGAAAGACACTTAAGGAAATGCTCGACATCCTTAGTAAACAGAGAAATGCAAATCAAAACCACTCTGAGATTCCATCTTACACAGAGCAGAATGGCTAAGATCAAAAACATCAATGACAGCTTATGCTGGAGAGGATGTGGAGAAAATAGAACACTCCTCCATTGCTGGTAGGAGTGCAAACTTGTACAGCTCATATGGAAATTAGTATGGTGATTTCTCAGAAAATTAGGAATCAACCTACCACAAGACCCTACAATACCACTTTTGGGCAAATACCCAAAGAGTGCACACTCACACCACAGGGACATTTGCTCAACTATGTTCATAGCAACATTATTTGTAATAGTTTTGGAATATTTTGGAAACAACCTAGATGTCCCTTAACTGAATAATGGATAAAGAAAATGTGGTATATTTACACAATGGAGTACTACTCAGTGATAAGAAACAATGACATCCTAAAATTCACAGGTAAATGGACAGAACTAGAAAAAAAAACATCCTGAGTGAGGCAACCCAAAACCAGAAAGACAAATATAGTATGACTCACTCATAAAGGGTTACCAGACATAAAGCAAAAGATACCCAGTCTACATCCACAACCCCAGAGAACTAGAACCCTCTTCCAGAAACAGATGGAAGCAGATGCAGAAATCCACAACTAACCAATGGGCCAAGTTCCCGGGATAGGGAGGACCAATAATATGAACAAAGGAGTCAAGACCATGATGGGGAAACCCATTGAAACAGCTGACCTATGTTAGTGAGAGATCACTGACTCAGGTCTGACAAATGGGAAACCTACATAAAACCAAACTAGATTCCCTTAGTATGGGTGACAATGGTGTCACTGGGACAATATATGAGGCCACTGCCAGGGCGTCCAAGATATAATACTAATGCACAAACTGACTTAGTGGAGCCCATTCTGTATGGAGAGATACCATGCCCAGCCTAGACACAGGGGTGTGGAGGGTGGAGAGGTGCCTTGGTCCTGCCTCAACAAGATTATGGGACAGACTTAGTAGAGTTCTTAGAAGAAGCCTTACCCTCTCTGAAGAGCAGATGGGAGGTGGGAGGGGGAGTGTGAGGAGCAGGAGGAGAGGAGGGAGGGGGGAACTGCGATACGAATGTAAAAAATAAATTAATAAAAAAAGTAACTGACTAAATAAAGACCAACAGTAACATCTTTTCCTATACTAGTTCCTATTTGTTCATAAACAGCCACCTTTAGAAAACCTTTCAACCCAAATCCCCAAATAAACTGATGTCACTGAATTATATGAACCTACTCAGTGGCCCACCCATCTGGATCCCCACTGAGAACCAATTCTCCTCATAGGCCATGCTTTCCACTGCTATCAAACTAGAAATGATATGTGGGAAAATGTACAAGGCTGCCCACTTTAGCCCATTCACGTTGGTAGATAGGATACATGACAGTTCTAAAGCAGCCTGGGATACGGATGCCTGAACTTTAATCCTGCCGTTACATAGCGCTGCAAAACCCTTGGCAAACCTTCTCAGTTCCTCTGTGCCTAGTTTCACAAATACAAGCTATGGGGAATAAGAACATGCCCGATAGGATGCTGTGACAATTAACTGAGGTTTTGTTTAGAAGTTTAAACACTAAATGTCCTGAGTTTGCCTCCCCTTTTCCTGAAAATGTCCTAAGGAAAACAGCAGTACTTTGACTTCTATTGCATACTCCCATCCTCTGTGTCTCAACAGTCGCATATGTCTCCAAAGCTAGTCTGGGATGTTAAAGGTAAGTTTTCCACGATGGATCTAAACCACAGAGTGAGCTGGAGTAAGACTGACTGCTTTACACAAATGACTGGGGGGATGGGGAAAGGAAAGAAGGACTCAAAGACTGGTTAGCCTGGTGTTTTCCATAAGACTGGTTAGCCTGGTGCTTTCCATAATTACCCCTAAACAACTAGTCCTCTGTGCAGACCCTAGAGGCAGGGTTCCCTAATATTTTAAAAAGAGGGACTTTATTTTCATTTTTATGAAGTCTTAAAGTCATCAAGAACAAGGAAAGCCAAACACTAAAACACTTCTGTGGGGTTGGGGAGGCAGCATGTCTGCTGGCTGTTTTATTTCCAAACTAAAAGGCATAATATCCGCTAAAGCCTGAAAACTTGCAAGTATTAAGTTTATCGTCTTTGGTAATTCCTGCTCTAAAAAATGTCAAATGGTGACTCAAGAAGAGGCCTGGGCACAGAGGAAGTGAAGGAAAACCTAACATCTATGGAAAACTGGTAGTTTTTTTTATATATATACTGCATGTAATTCTTCTTGTTCCCTTGCTACAGTTTTGAGGAAACTTAGGCTCCTGGACATTAGTAACTTGCAAGAAGATCACTTCTCTGGTTTGTGTAACATAGTATCATAATACTTATTCAAATGCAATTCTGTAACTGTTTCTTGCACTGAATATGACCAGCTTGTTCAGAAAATAAGTATATGATATAATCATCTCTAAACAACAGTGTTTTCTTTTCTCCATAGCTAAAGCACTTTTGACCATGTACACTTTCTTTCTTTTTTTTTTTTTTTGGTTTTTACGAGACAGGGTTTCTCTGTATTGTTTCGGAGGCTATCAGTCCAGCCTGGCCTTGAACTCACAAAGATCCGCCTGCCTCTGCCTCCCAAGTGCTGGGATTAAAGGCGTGCGCCACCACCGCCCGGCGACCATGTACACTTTCACATCACCCATAATCTTATATTTCTTGTCAATGAACTCTAAAAAATTTAATATATGTCATTTTGGGCTAAAGTATTTAAAGCTACCAGACAGACCTTTAGCTATATTTTTTCCTTTGCCTTGATGAAAAGTATTATCTGGTTGATGGAGGCTGTATCATCCTGGATCCCTATATGCCTATGAGGAATATAGCTGTCTTTATCATAATAAATAATGTATGTCCAAAAAAGTGGTAACAAGAATAGATGCATGGGTGCAACCAATGATATTTCACAATTCATTCATTACTGCAGCAGAGCCTAACCCATACCAGCTATTATCCTCAGTTAACGTTCCCATGCAGGTTTGTAGATGCAGCAATCTTACTGATTCTCAGGTGAAACTAATGCCCACGCTGAATTGTCGGGATAGAGAAAATAAGAAGTGTTCATCTATAGAAACTAACAATAGATCCCACTTTGACCTGGAGCAGACTTTTATTCCAGGTGCACTGGTCAAAGGAACCTTCTCTGTCTCAGAAGCCAGCAGTGAGACAAGAACCGAGACTGAAAACAGAACAGTAACTAAACCTAGGTTAAAAAGCTTCACTTTTCCCTTCAGTTGACTTTGGGGTTCCATGGACTATTTTGTTAAAAACATTAATTATGCAAAACATTAATTAACCATCCATAAATGAGAAAATGGATAAAATAAAAACACATGAAGCCAGAATGATTACATTAGCTTAAGGAAAGACCAAATATAATGTAGGCTACGGTGTTTCAAACCAATTTTCATCCAATTTGAGCAAAAACTGTTTAATCCTTAACTGGTTTACAGCTATGCTCAGAAATGAGTCCCTTTCTGTTTGGTAACCATTTTAAAGACTGCTGGTCATCTGCCCACTAGTGACTTTCTTCTCAGTTACTATAATTGATAGCTTTCTCCAGCCTAAATCACACAGTGTTGCTGAAGATTCTTAATCCAAACAGTCCTCCAAAAGCCAGTGATTGATTGGCCCATGTCTGGAGTCACCAGAACATTATAACCTCCCAAAAAATCATCCCAGTTTTTCTCTCAGGATAAAGGAGATGCATATGTTTAACTAGAAGAAACCTTAAACTTGCTTTGGTGTAATTCACTCTAAATTAGACAACGCATCTCTGAATTGTATTTTTACTTGGAAACTAAAACTGTACGGAAGAAGTGGGAAAGTGGAAGGGAACATAGTGATATTTACTCATAGTGTAGCTAGAAGAATCAAAGTTTTATATGAGAAGCATTTTCATATGAAACCCATATGAATATAAGATGAAAGTATCTGTAGGTCTAGAATAAAAGAAACCTCAGAAGTCAGTTTATGAAATGAGACTTTGATAGCTGCTAACACCCAGGTTCTTGAATGTAACAGTAAGAGCTATGTAGCTCTTTCCACAGCAGGAAACTGGAGCCTAATCAAGTGCACAATGGGGCTTTCAGACAACCTTAAACAAACAGACCAAAGCTGAGAAACAGCATTCTTGTTTTCACTGGGAGAAAATATAAATCAAAGAGGCAGGAAGGGGGCACTTCACTCTTTAATCAGAAGGAGCTTCCTCTTGAGTGCTGGTTAGAGCCCTGAAGTCTGTTACCGTTACACAGGTTAGAACAAAGCTGCCAGCATACCTGATAAGCTTTCTATTGCTCTCTTGTTCCATTTCCCTGAAACTAGGGGAAAAAACAAAAATGAAGGCAGACTATTACCTCTTGATATCCTAAATTCTCTTATGATACTTGTGACTTAGAGACGTCAGAACAGATAATACACACACACACACACACACACACACACACACACTCACAACACCCATACAGATGCATGCCTGGCCTAACCATACTTTGATTCCTTATCATGTAATCTCTGTTTTCAATTTTTGCTTAACATACTGCTTCATTAATATTCTTAACTCTGGGTTATCTAATTTTCCTACTTGAGCAATTAAAAAAAACACAGCGCTGACAACTCAAGAATTGAGTTTCTCTAAGCCTCATAGTCGCCCAGCTGATACTTAGAGCAGCAAGTCGCTCTGCCTGAGGGGACATGCTAGCCCTAAAATAGAGTTCAGTCTTGCCAGGCAGCACTTGATCTTCCCCTCTCCATTAAAGAATGTCATTGAAGTCTTTCACCCACTGACACTGGTCCGGATTCTCCTCAGCTGAAAAATACCCTTGCTCTAACCTCTCTCCTAGGCACCTGTAACCTCATACAGCCCATCCCAATCCGTTCTGTCCCTCATCTAACAGCTCTGACTCACTTACCCAGGGGAATTTTTTCCAGCAGGTAGAGATAGCTCTGAAAGAAGTCATTGCGAATGGCTTTGTGAAGGATAAAGGACATACTATGTCGACAGAGTTCATCATCGGTCTTCTGCCAGCGGGATCTAAAGGCAAAATGGGCTCCCAGGTGGGCCATGGTGAAGCGGGGATGATAATTATTCTTACAGAGAAAGGACGTTTGTCTAACTGTTCCTTTGAATTACTCTTCTCTTCCTCAAAGAACTTGAGACTGTCATTTTAAACCAGTCCCAGGTCCATCTATATCAGGACAGGCTGTCATGGGTTGTAGGGGGGAGGGATAACAGACACGGGGAGGTCAGGCTCTTGGCACATCCACCCACAATCTGATTGCTTGCACGACACCACTCCAAGCCAGCAGGTGCTAAAAGATGGAAATAGGCTGAGTGAGAGCCTGCTTCATCCAGGGAGAAGCACGCGTCCCTCCTTTCTGGACTGCTTCAAACAGGCTCAAGCACTGCCTGCTAACACCCTGAACACTTGCTTTAATTTGACTCTGAAATTGGAATAGCCTAATTTCCATTTCAAAGAGTTGTGAATATTTTGCAGGAGATCCTATTCCCTGATTTCCATTGCTCCTGGAACACTGAATACTCAAATTACAAGGGACCTTCAAAGTCATCTTAGCCACTCACATTCCTTTCATCAGTACAATTTTTTTCCAAATCATTTTATTGAGGTGGATATGTGTTTTCAATGTTTAAGGATCTTCCAAGGGGGGCAATTATTTGAAAGCCCATTTTGAAATTAAATACCCTTCTCTATCAGCAAACTCCTCCACTTAACTTGTTCTGAGCAGTGCGTATGCATGCAAGTTTTTCTGTTCCTTTCTACTATGATTATGATTTTCCTTTTAAATACATATGTGTTATGTACTATCTTAAGATTGTCTCTCCAACTCATTTCTCTGTTTTTTTTTACATGATACTATGTGTTCTAGAGGCCAGCCTATGCTGACTATATCAGCAGACTCCATTATACTCTGATTCAGCCAGTAGATAGTGTCGTAGGAGATAGTAATAATACCTCCTTAAATATGAACTTTGCAAATGGCAAGTTTCTATCACAATTCCAATGTGTATTGTGTTCATAAGGCCAGTGAGTGTACATACTATCCTCCTTTGCCACCTTTATTAGTCAGTATCTCCAACAGGATGCTGATTCTTAACCCTTAGTAAGATATTTGTCTTAGGAGAGAACTAACTCCAACTACTCACACTGATTATTTTGACAGTTCACACGGGCAAGTTTTTCAGTGTTTACAGAACTAATTATCTACTATGAATTATATACTTCTTATATCTGGGCAAGGGCTAATAAACATTGTAAGATCTTTATATTTCAGACCTATAATTTCTGAGTGGGATGAAAGACTGATTGGTCCATGCAAAATGCGTTTGTCAACTTACTTTGTTTCTGTGGGTCACATTAGATTCTGTGACTATTTCTCATAGTTTCCAGCTCATTGCATTTGCTTCCTTATGGTGACCATTTTTCTCTTACAGCTGAAACGCTCTATTTGTTGCCAGCCCACACCATTCTTGGCTATATTTACACCTACTGAGTGAAGTTATGATATACACCTCAAGTCTACCACAGGCATCCAATTTCCAGGCTGGGAAGAAAAACAATGAAGTAAAAGAGAGAAATATGACTTCAGTAAGAGAAGGAAGAAAGTGAGTTCATCTATTTGATTTGAGGGATTTGCTGTAAGGAGTGTGAGGGGCACCTACAGCTAAAAATAAAAGACTAGATTATCATACAGAGGTTCAGGAGAAAGGAAGGCACAGAAGAAAATCCAGATAAGAAATATATTTGCCCTGTAATATAATAAACTTAATATTTGATAAGTCTGTTCAATATAGAATTCCTACCAAAATGAAATTCCATAATGTTTATTTAAATTGAAGATAATGGACAAAATAACTGCCCAGCCAAAGAGACAATATGTCATTAATAGATGCTCATGGGAAGAATGACTTTAAAAAATCTACTTCAGAGAAAAATGTAATTAAGAGAATATATTGTTAACAGGGGAATAGGAAAAAGACTAATAAAACAGAAAACAGAGCCCACAAACAAAATTTTATAAGCTAGTGCAGTGAATTACATAATATTATTGCAATAGTAATGTGTCTAGTGATTAGCACAACTCCTGTACTATACATGCTTATCTAAGATAGCTTAAACTACAATTATAAAAAACCTCTGAACATGTTTTAAGAAGATATCTTTGTGTTTTTAAATGAATATCTTAAGACTCAAACTAAAACTACAGTGAAAAATAGTAAAGTAACTGCATTAAAATTAGGGTAATGAGCTTTTGTTCATCAAAAGAAACCATAGGTAAAACTTAGCCCAAAATGAATAGTCAGTGTTTCTACCCTCAATAATCAATAAAAACATAGTGCCTGAAATGTATGAATAACTGAAATGTATGAATACAAATAAACAAGAATAACACAAACTGTATAAAGGAGAAAAGATCCTTATATAATCTTTCAAGAAAGTAAATATAAATGCTAATTAAGCAGTTTCAATAATTTATCAATTATTTGAGATATACAGATTGGGATCATAACAAGATGTAGCATAAGGTTTTAAAAAATGTAAGCTAAAAACTCAGTGAAGCAAGACTATAGAGCAGCAGAAGTCACTGTTATAAATTCTAGGTCAGTAAGAATTTGTTCAAACAATTCAGGACCATCTCATGAATGTAATGATGCTTATGTCCTAGACCAAACAGTTTCAACCCCTCTTGCTGCAACATCATGGGTTTGTAAGTCATATCAGCCACTTGATCTCTTTAGCCACCCCCAAGTAAAAAAAAGAAAAGAAAAATGTCTGGATCTATAAGTGGCTCAGGGATCTTAAGGGACTAACTCAAGTCTGAGTGACGGGCAACTTAGCCTCGCCTTCTGTATATCACCACTACTACTACAAATAAATATGGGTGAGTCTCAAAACCAGTGTTTTTTTTTTTTTTGTTTTTACGAGACAGGGTTTCTCTGTATTGTTTTGGAGGCTATGGGTCCAGCCCGGCCTCAAACTCACAGAGATCTGCCTGCTCTGCCTCCCGAGTGCTGCGATTAAAGCCGTGTGCCACCATCGCCCGGCTGTACATTGGTTATTAAGCAAATAAAGTTCAAACATCTAAAAGTACAGTGATTTCTTCAATTTTTATTTGCTTGCTTGTTTGTTGCCAAGCTGAAGGTTGAATCCCCTGCCTGACACAAGCTAGCTTCATGTCTATCCCACACTGCTCAGCCCAAGCAGTATGACTTGAAGAGGAAAACAAACACAGTAATGAAAATACTGATGGATCCTGTGATAAAGGCAGAGGATGTGCCAGGAACAGAATGCTAAAGGACCTTTATATAAAGCTTAAGCCTGCAGCTAAGTTATAAATAAAAATATATTATTTACCTTACTGGTCTCTTACATGAAGGCACTTGTTTTTATTAACTAGTCATGCAAATTAAAGCAGACAAACATGTGACATATTCCTTATACCTACTGGAGCAGTGATTTCTGAACCAAAAACAGCAACAGGAGCAGGTATAGAGGTTCTCACTGCCCACTCACCCTAAAGCAGAGCTGCCTGTCAGAGCCAGGGACATTCTGAAGAGCCACCCAGACACTGTAGTAGGCATCACAAGTCGGCTACACTCACATTGGAAGTTTTCATCTCATACTCTTACTTCCCCCTTAAAAGGAAAACCCAGTGTGGCCATAATGAGACGTGACTGGTTCCAGCATTTGAAGAGAGACCCCACTCTATACCCATCTTACTCAAGAAAGCTTAGAAAGAAATGGAACTAAAGAAGAGAAGGGAGGGGCCCGCTACACTGTCAGCTGTGGGTGTCCCTCAAGTGTTGGATCTGTGTAAGGTAGTGACAGGATGGACTGTGGCAGTGTGGAGTTGGATCTGGCTCCTCCCAGGCAGACTGTCTGGAAAAATATCCAAAATATAAACACAGAGTTTTTGTTTCCAACTCTCTTTGTGTATCAAATTTTAGTTTAATTTAATTTTAAAATTAAACTAGCTGAAGCTAAATAAAATGTTAAATTTAGGTTCACAGTCACACCAGCCACATATTAAGTGCTCTTTTGGCTAGAGATTTCTGTTGTGGCCAAGATAGATTATCTCCCTCCCTACAGAGAGTTTGCTCAAATTCTACTGACCCAGGAGTCAGGTCCAAGTCACTTTTGAAGAGGAATCACAGATAGCAATTCCAGCACTACAGAGAGAGTGAGCACCTGATATTTTACTCTAAGAAAGTCCACTTCCTGTTCTTACTGTACAGTCATTCAGCACCCTAGGGGAACAGAAAAGGACTTCTGCCAGTTAAAACATGAATCATTGTGTCATTATTTTTTCAATCATAAGCAATTTGAGGGCAGTTTACTTCAATTGCATACCATTTCCGTGGACAGTGTGATTTGCTGAGCTACTAAGCACACAGCTCTCATTTCTATGAATCCATGACCATCTGGATAATTACCTGCAATCTCTTGCTGGACTTCTTAGAAACCCTTGGATGCCATTTGTATGTGCTCAGGAAAATTATATTTTAGTCACCCCTTGGAATATCCAACTTGGCAGTTCATGCTATATTTCCAATACCTGCTATTCAACTATTCAATTATTCAACCTAGTCAGAAAGCTGTTATAAGACACACAGACAATTAAAGGTCTGCGATATTATCAGTATAGTAACAAAACAAGAAATCCTCTCTTAGCCAACAGCAGCAGCATCCACAACTAAATGTCTCATTTTCTGTCTCAAGTTATTACCCCAGGGTTCTTCTGTGGGAGGGGGAAAAACACCTTTCACTGTGCAAACTGTTCCATGCCCCGGGAAAGCAGACATGAAGTGCCTGAGATGCTCGAAAGCTGTCACTGGGGACCAGGGATTAAAACCTGGTCAGGGTAGCAAATAAAACAAATTTAAAAAGCTCTTAAAAGAACTTGACAAGGGAAGCTTAAATCTTATTTTAAAGGGCTGGGTTGTACTAAGTCCTGAAAAATTCAATCCTCCGGAGGACTATATCTCACTAAGAAAGCTCCACGTAAGTTTATCATGTAGCCAACACCTAGACATTGGGCCTCAGAGACCACTTGGATAATATTTCCTCTGGATTAGCACTGAAGCTTGGAAGTGACATTTGTACGAGGCATACTGTAAACTCTAGGGCTTTACTGATTATAAAATGATAATTC